ACAACATAGCACCCCTGTAGGAAAAACTTCTCTTTAAATAATTGGTGTAGGGCTGTGGAAGAGCTAATTTATTACCTTGGATGCTGGAGAGGTATGTTGGAAGAGGAGCAACAGGCAATGAGCAACAGGTATTAAAAAGAAGAAGAATGGAGAGGGGCAATACATGTACAATGTATATCCCTTTAAACATCACTTCACTTGGAGTAGAAATAATGTTTAATATTTTCAATGATAAATTTTGGCATGAGATGATCTTGCATTAAATAAACCAGAAAAATGTTCAATTTATGTTTGCCTCCCCAGTAAGCTATATTGAGGTTGATTTAAATCAATCAGTCATGAACAGTACATAAAGAGTTAATATTACTTTTTATTGTGATTTATTCCTTATAGACGGAGGTATTTTCCTCTTGAGCTTCTGTACAACATCCTGGATGGCATGAGCTCTGTTAAGCTAAATGTGTTTCATTTTCACTTTGTGGACTTTTGCCGATTCAGTGTTGAGAGTAAACTGTGAGTTTCCTTTTTGATAAATTTATATCAGAGTGGTCCACTGTATGATCTTCAATACTTCATAGGTCAAACTTCATACCTGTAGCTCATGGTTACATGTATAAGCTGCACTCTTTCAGGTTACGTTGGAAAATAGAGTTACACTTTTATTAATATATAATTATGTAGTTATATTATTATTGTTAATATAATTATTATTAGTATTATTATTATTATTACCATTAATTACTAATTACTAATTATTAATAAATTGCTCCTGGATCAGTAGCTAAGGTGCAGACAAAGATGTTAAGAAATGGTGCCAGTACATTAAACAAACAGCATACACAAGAAATATCTCGTATCATAGAGCAACTGAAATGTCGCCTTATCAAGCAGTATTCGAAATAAAACCACCCAGAGAAATTGTTGAAACCAAGGAACAGGAATCAGAAGAAGAGAAGGAGAGAACCACTGATGAAGAAAACACTTTAGCAAAAGAAGAAGCTGAAAAAGACAAAGAACCACCTTAAAAAAAGCGAAAAACTGAACAAAACTTGAAAAACCAAACAAAATACAACAATGACATGATTCAGCAAACAAAAAGAAAACAAGAATGAAGACGACCCAGATTTAAGATATCAGACATGGTCTCCATCAAAATAGACAAAGTAGAGAAAACAACTCCCCTTCACCCAAACATGCTACTTGGTAAAATTATCGAAATTGAAGATACTGGTTGTGTAAAAATTGTAACAGAGTTAAGCAACGTAAACACTCTCATATCACTAATGTCAAACTGGATTATACAACTGAAATATCTTTCACAGCTGCTTGTAAGAAAGCGAGTGGACTCTAGTAAATCAATATGTATTATTGTAAATTCAAAACATAGAATGCGTGAAATAATAAATCAAACCAGTCGGGTTTTGCTAAAAGCTAGCCTGTCGCCTGGCAGCCCACAGCTCGTGGCCCACTTCACTGCCTTCACTCGGCAGGTATTTTTTGGAAGGTTGAAACAAATAGAAGTTGAATAAACCCTGATAGAAAAACTAACCGCAAGCAACCAAAGATAATTTAGGCCATACGGAGTGAAGGCCATGAAGCGGGTGGCGAGCCTTCACCACCGCACTGCTGTAAGCATCTCACCGTAAAATAAAAACTAAGTCAATTAAAAGAGGAACAGCAGCTATAAAGATTAACTTTCAAGTGATAAACTAAGTCAGCAACTGCTAGTTACTTTTAGTGCTATCACCTTCAATATTGATAATAAAGTTTGTTGAATGACCAAGCTAACTTCCAAAAAAATGTATGTCATATTACTGTTCCTATCATTGTGAGCTAACATTAAACAGGCAAACCAGAATGAGTACTCTTGTAGCTGTTATAGCAAGTTTAATTAAATGGACTAAATAAAGTTACTCTATGAATAAACAACAACAAGTTTTTTTTATTTGATTTTTTATTGTAAATGTATCAAGCAATGGAAATACAACATAACCCCTGAGACTAAAAGCATAACTGCAGTTCTACATGTAGCGGTTGAAACATTTTGTACAATTTCAAATATTTTGTACCGGCTCAGAAACAAACTGTACCAAAGGCAAAATTGAACTACAACATATCCATACCTCCCATGAAAGGAATTTTTCTCTAAGACCTCACAGACCTCTCTAAGACCTCAGACCTCTGGAAATTCCAATTAATCTTCATACATTTCTATAAATGTTTTTGGTCTTACAGACTACCCCCCAGCTCCAGGAAATTCTTATCCCTTCTGTGCCAGGGGAGTAAATTGGATATTTTCTGGAACTGCACAATTCATGTAAAGTAACATACTTTTATGATATTAATTTTTTTCAGATATCCAGCATTACAAAATAATCAAAGTCAATTTTACTCCCAAGAACAAGTCAGATCGTTAATATTGTATGCTGCTGACAGAGGAATAAGGGTCATCCCTGAAGTAGAATCAGCGTAAGCTATGAGTTAATTTGTGTTTTTGTATTTCTTTTCATTTCTCCATTCCAATACAGTGATTTTTATTCAATTTGTAACCTCCATTAATTAGCAAAGAGTTGCTGTAGATTGGTAACAAAGACTGATGTCAAGTTCTATCAATTTGTTTTAATTTAGATTCCATGTCCTTGGAATGGTAGGTCTTAAAAACAAGACCAAAGGGTTGCGATTCTGCAATAGCTCAGGATTTCTTGAGCTCTATAATGATCCAGAGGTGAGCTAAAAGGGAAATATATTGATCAAAGAGAAGAACGGTTGGGAAGAGTTCAAACTCTCCCTTGCTTCTGATCTGGTCAGTGTGAATGCAGACTGTCGATTGCAGACTATGGATTGCATACTGCAGACAGGGGGTAAAATGCATACTGAGGGTAAAATGCAGACTGCAGACTGTAAACTTTTAGACTAAATCATGTTCTCATTAATTTCAGTCATTGAGAGCTAATCGTAAACAGGCAAACTGGAGGGTTATTGATGCTAAACTGAGTGATATTCAGGCTAACCAAAGTGTACACTTTCACTACGATTGGGCTAAATAACCCTATTTTCAGGTAGCATGATAGTGGAAATAACACAATATATGGTTGGTACTACACATGAGCAGACCGTTATTTGTAGGCAGTTATATGCAGGTCATATGGTGGGTCTCAGCCAATGAAAAAGGAAGAATAGTAATTTGTTAATTATAATAACAATTATATTATTATTTAATATGAGAACTTGACCTGCAGCCCATTGTTTTTGCTATACTCAGAACGCTGTTGCGTTTTATGACAGTTCAATTCTTGGATTCTTTTTAGCTACTGTATTTGTTAATTGCAGTCAATAAGCAGGCGATCTTGTTGATTCAGAAAATTAATATTATTGTCTTTTTGGTTTATTCTTGTTTTGCTCAGGGAGTTACAGTCAGTACAATGAAAGGTATTCTTGAAGAAATGATGACCTTGTTTCCTGATCAGTACTTTCATCTTGGCTTAGATGAAGTGATAACTACTTCTGTGTGTACTATGGAAAGTAAGTTAAATGTATCTATTGAATAAATAACATTTATTTAACAATTTGCAAAAGAAGATTGTAATATATTCGTAGCCGAAGTTGTGTTGTATTACCCAAGATGCTTAGAGAATAAAGTGGTTGTGTTGAGCAAGCCTCCTGAACTTGTGTTGTTATGTCGCCAAGCCATACTTTTGCTAGTATGTTTCAAAGATGATTTGAGTAAAATATTATAAATGGTAAGTAAATCATTACACTGTTCAATTGCTACACAGTTTACACTTACAACATCCCTTGGCCAAAAATGACTTAACTGAGTTTTAGTTATGTAGCTCAAAATAGTCTGCTTTTTTTAATGTTTCATTGGAGGAAAGCTTTCTGAGTTTTCCAGCACCATGTTCCATAAATTTCAGATCTAAATACCTAAAGGAATGTTTTCCATAGGTAACAGATTTGAATCTTGGTAGCAGGGCTGTCAATAAGGGCTGAAACCTGTAACACCTGCTACGGCTGATGTTTGATGGACCCTTGATGTTATGGGTGAACTGGCCTCTAGTTGATACAATTCACCCATTAAGTAACAATTTTGCTACTGATGTGAAGATCAAGGCTACAAGTGAATTAAATCTTAATGAAACACCTGGGTAGTATGTAGCCTGTTCCAGGCTCTCAGTAGTTGGGGATGAGGGAAAAAAGAGGCGAGCGAGAGAAAAAATGAGGGCTAAGGCAGGGAATGATGAGAGATCTTTCCCTTCCCTTCCTTGCCTTAGTCCTCCCTCATTTTTTCTCTCACTCGCCTCTTTTTTTCGTTTGTCCCCAACTACCGAGAGCCTGGAACAGGCTAGGTAGTACTAGTAAAATCAGTAAATAGGCTAAGAAAATCCAGTCCATCATAGATTGTAAGGAGAATAGTGCACAGAATTGTAACATCGTCAAATCTGTTGAAAAGGTTGTCATGCATGTGTAGCGAAGGGTAAACATTCCAGCAATGACTGACTAAGAAGTACTTCTCTTTTAACTGGATACAGAAACTAGAGACCTTGAACGAGAACTATTGGAATTTGTTTTGCAAAAGGGCAAAATACCATATGCTTGGCAGGAGGCACTATTATCAACTTCTGCTGTAAGTTTTGATTAAGAAACAAACATAATTAATCCACTGTACCATCATGTATTTATATTGCTACCTTTGGGACTGAGGAGGGCTAGCAAAGAGAGAATTTTGATGGGTTAAGGTTAGCTAACACACAGGTCCATGGAGAATTGCATGTAATGGAATTGCTCTTTTGTTGTAAAAAAAAAATGAATAAATTACTGTATTTAGAATGGAAGCCACATCAGCCTTAGCTGGTTTTCGTGCAGGTCCTCTATCCTGGTTGAATTGGAATTTGGAGATGTTAGTTTTTGTGGATGGAGTAAAACTGGAGAACTCAGAGAAAACCCCTCAAAGCAAGGCGAGAACCAAAATTTACAGTTGTGTGGTCAAAATGTAATCATCGGGCTCTCTAAGATGCGTTACATTGCAGGTCTCAATAATAGTTATTGTTGTTTAAATTATTGGGAAAATAAACATTTCAGTGAGCTGATGTACATTCAACTGTGTCAAGCTTAAACTAGGTTAAATGTTTCTTATTTGATTTGTAGGCAGTGAATGGTACAGTACTACAGGCATGGAAAGATGTAGAAGTGAAAACTCTTATTGATAAAGGATTTCAAGTGTAAGCAGAAAAGATATCAATTATGGTAGTTATTATGTAGTAATTGACTGACTGTCTGAATGACTGACTGAATGATGGATGGATGGACTGACTGACTGACAGACTGACTGAATGAATGAATGACTGACTGACTGACTGACTGATGGATGGATGAATTGACAGATGGATAGATGAACAGAAATACTGGATGAATGAATGAATGTCAAATTACATGAATAACACAGGCTGACTTATATGACTTAGGCCCGGTTTAAATGTCGAACTTTACATGTGCCGAACCTAATACTAATTTGGGTCGACCCAAATAACTGAGTTCAGCAGTTGATTCTAACGTCGAACCTAATTCAGTCGAAATTAATATTATTGCAAAAAATAAAAGAGACACTATTGCAAACGGCGGTTATTACTAACCAAAATGGCGGAAAAAATGTGGGAAAGACAAATTGTGGAAATGAAGAGCTTGCTTTTCTTGCAAGTGCGATCAAGGAAGGTAGAACAAGTTGAAGAAGGCGACTCCAGATGCAGTTAACATTAACAACCGAAGATGATTTTTGACTTTGGCTTGCCCTCCATTATTGCTTATTCCCAACGGAACATCACAGTTCCTCGTTCAGTTCATTCCTGTCGTCGGGTTCTTCAAGATCCATTTATTTTGTCTTTTCCCGTCTCAAAAACATGACTCGCAGTGGTATGCCATGGAACTATCTGCTTTCCAAACCGCTACACTATCATGGTTTTCAAATACGGAACACCGCATACAGAAGTGGTTTATGCACATCAAGCAAGTATATTTCGTGCTCTCAAAGCAAGAGGAACACATATACATATCTTCTCGCTCTTCCCGCCATTTTTGTTCCAAAAGATCAAAACACAGTACGTATGACAAACATAAGAAACGTGCAGAACTCTGGGTAAAAAATAATTTATTTAATGTATTTGTAATGTATGCATTAGGTTCGGTACATGAGAATTTCGACGTTTGAATTGGGGTCGCTCTGTAGTTGAACTGACTGACTGGCCATGTCAAACTTTATTCTTGGGTCGACCCAAATAACATTTGTTGAACTTAATTGATTCAAACGTCAATCTCGTCATGTACTTGATTGGGGCTATTAGGTTAGGCTCATGAAAACTTTGATGTTTGAACCAGGCCTTACTCATAAACTTGATCACTGAATAATAGACATTTAATGGCATTGATACTTATTGTTTATAGACATCATTTCTGTGCATCAGCTCACATGTCATGTCATGCATCAAGTGCACATGCCAAATAATTAAATGAAGAAAATTTAGTAGCGTCAAGCCACTCTTGCTAAACTATATGTGGATGTTTAATGAACCTTATTTTTATGATAGAACGCTTTCTCTGAAAAATAATCCATGTACTGGAAGATTTTTGCACAATGGTTCTAACACAATTTAGCCATAATATCAGCTGTTATCCTTACATCTATATCTCCTGTTTTTGTTTTGTCAGTGTAAACTCACTGATAGACCACTTCTACTTGAACAAGTACGAGCTCAATATAAGTGTGTTATGGACTGACATCTCAGCAGGGGTAAATATTAAATATTATTTTTATTTCAGCGCAAATAAAAAAGGTAAAACTTATTACACAGTGACTGCAGATAGCCAGTTGAGACCACAACCAATCAGAACACTTTTTGTCATACAATTTGTCTGACTGGTATTTTTTTGTATTCACTAATAGTTGATTTGCATGATTCTTATTAAGGCTTGAAATATGACTGCCCTTTTTAGAATCTAATTCACTGACTGTTAATTACATGGCTACTTCTTGCTGTAGAAGACACGGGACACATCACAATAGGGCATTGTCTCAAACCTATTGTTTTCACTGTTTTCCTTGTTCTTTTGTCCTAAATTGTTCTCTATTGCTTTATGTCAGCTGTGTCTTCTATACCAAGTAAACGCCAATTAAGCCTTATACTATCTGGCTAAGTTAATTAGTGGAGAGGATCAACCAATCAGATTGCTTCATTGCTGGTTAAAAAATATGCTCTAAGTACTGGACCAGGAACTGCTCTGAATGTTTCTGTGAGACCATTCTTGAAGATTTTCTGGTAGTTTTAAGACTTTCTTTCTAAAAGGACCTACAGTTTACACATAACAGCTCTGTTATCCTTTTCATTTCAACTCTCTTTTCCTCCTTTGTTTTTGAAAACTTTGGTTGTTAGTATATGCTAAGTCTGCCCTCAATCAAAATTGCATGCTTGAAGCTTTTAGTGTCTTCCTGGTTGATAATTTGTTGGAAAACTATTGTTAACCTCCACAATTTTTATTTGTTAAATTTGTAGAAAATTTTGTCTGACAGCCTTGGTTAGAGTAGTCGCACGGTAACATCCAATGTAACACTTGTTTCTTTTGTGTTACATTTCAATTAATATGTAGTTAAATCCAGATGAGCAGACATGGCTTCTTGGTGGTGAGATGGCATATTGGACTGGTGAATACTGCTTTGTTGATCAGTGCTGTTTGTACAAAAGAGCTAAACCTTCTGCATGGTGGATGTACGGACCAGAGGCTGATTCACAATTTACTGAATCAGCCAGTGGAATGGTGAGTTCTCTTGCTATTTGTATTTAAAAGTAAGGGTGAAATTCAAGAAAAATAATTTAATTTTGTTTTGGGAAATAATTGTCATCTCCCAATTTCTCTCAGACATATCACTGACTTTGAAAATCCAGCAATCATAGGTACAGTAGGGTTGTACAAGCTAGAAGAACCTGGGTGTCACTCTTGCCTTTGGGAGATTGGAAAAACGTACTTTTTCATATAAGCTTAAGTGCTGGGCATCCAGGATTTCATGGTTAGGAACTTTTGGGCCCTTGTAAGTTTTCCTAGTCCACAGCCTTGTTACAGGAATAGTAAGTCACACTTGAAAGACACTTGAGTCATGGCAGGTGGCAAAAATGATTGAATCTGAAAACAATTCATGCCCACCTCTGAAACAACATGATTTCAATTTGGTTCACGGCATTCTTTCAACATGTATTTTAGTTTTTTAATTATTTAATGTAAAATATGTAATGTTATTACATTAATTTTAATTCACATTTTTTAACATTTTTATCTGTTGAAGAAAGCAGTCAACCTTCGGAAAGCTCAGTTTTTAGATCATATTTTGCCAGACAATGCCTTTCCTAATTTTAACTTTCTGTTAAATTTTAGGGATTTTAGTGTGAATGTCTGGTTGAATTACTTTTCAGATTTGGCCACGGGCTATTGTTGGTGCTGGTTCATTCTGGAACTATCAGTCAGGATTGAAACCTGAAAGCCAAGAGTTCCAGCGTAGGTTAAATAGTCAACACGTGGTGAGTCTATGTCATTGACTTTGGATAATGTCAGTCACTGATGTGGCATGTTAGATCTTTGTCTGGGACATGTAAAGCCTGTTGAAGATGACACTTTGAGAACTGTTCCCAGTGAGGCCATTGTTAGACCACTTGATCTCATGTGCTTTTGTCAATGTCTGTGCACTACTATCAAATTTGTAGTTCAGACTTTTCATTATGGTTTATGCAGATGGTCAAACCTACACAGCAGGCTAATGGAAATATTCCTTTTTTACTGTGATGGTATCAAATCCAGAGAAAGCATGTCACAAATTGCTTATGATAAAGTCTGCATACAAGCTAGTGGCCCACCAGGCTGGAGCCTTATTCCAGTTTCTGTAGCATGAAGCGACTGGAAATATTTCTTCTCCTCCCTGGATGGGATGCTAGTTCATCGCACGGTTACCCCCATCATTAAATTCGCTGGTACCTATTTGTATACCTGGGTGGAGAGAGGCACTGTGAGAGTTAGGTGTCTTTTCCAAGAACACAACACAATGTCCCTGGCCAGGGCTCAAACCCAGGCTGCTCAATCCCGAGATGAGCGCACCAACCACGAGGCGACCGCACCTCAAATTGAGGGAGAGAATGTCGCAAATTTTGGTGAAGTTGCGTAACATAGACAACAAAATATTTTACCAGTTGCTGGCTCTTTTTGAAAGCTCTGGAGCTGCTTAAATTTTTGTAAGAGAAAATCATTGTTAGTAATTAACAGTTATTAGCATTTTTGGTAAAGGTAACAGTAAGTTATTAATTTCATTGTTCTTTTTGCAGAGAATGACTAAACGTGGCATCTTAACCTGTCCGCTGGGCTGTAAGTGTGACTACTTGACCAGATGTGGTGAGCCATACCCACATCCTTAATTTCAGGCAGATTGGCCGCAAAGAATTTCTTAAGTCATCATGCTAAGTTAGATGTTTACCCCTGGTAACAGGTGTAATAGTTTTCATGGAATAAAAAGTGTATTCAATAAGACCTGGTACCCACCCAAGTTCTGGCAGGTACTTGGTTTTGGATTATGTAATGATAAATATATTGCAGTTAGCTGTTTTTAAAAATTAGCTCTTTAGAGAGGAAGTTGTTTTGGACCTCTTTAATTGCCCTTTGTTGGGTGCTGCAAAAGGGCAGTGACCTATGTCAAATCTCATTGAAAGCCTTGGATAAAAAAGAAGTTATGAGAAACTTGATATATATTTCACATCAGGTTTATTGTTACAATAATTTAATTAGTATTGAATAATATCCCCTCAAAAATAGAGTTCTGTTGTAATGCAACACAACTTGAATGGACCCAATAATGTACGATTAATGTCATGTCAGTGGACGAAAAACGACCAGGGAAATAAATCTTTTGTATCAAACACACCAGCAATATGCAGTTCCAGAAAATATCCACACTCCCCCCACAGAAGGGATTGGAATTTCCTGGGGCGTGGGGGTACTGTAAGACCAAAAGGTTTAAAGAAATGCATGAAGCTTAATTGTAATTTCCAGAGGGGGNGGGGGGGGGTCCTTGAAAAAATCCCTTCTTTGAGGGAGATATGGATATTTTCTGGAACTGCACGATATTTGTTAACAAAATAAAGTTTATACACATATTACGATAATTTGAAATCAATAACTTATCATTGGCGGTGAAAGATAATGACTTCTGTGTATCAAATATTTAATAACAAGTCTACAAAACCAGGTTTCCTATATGCAAATATTAAGTGAGACACAGTCAAGTTGACTATGTGGCACTCATAGAAACAAGGTTGGGAAGTTTAATTGTTTCAGTAGATATTATTAGTAATAAATAGCAGTCAATTACCTATTAAAGTATTAGGGGTTTTTAAGCCCAAAAAAGACAAATCATTTTCCCTTTAAGACTAGGTCTAATGATGTAGTTGTGCTATACATTGTATTAAACAATTAGATTATCAGCTTGAGATTTCTGTTGCATGGTAGTTGACGAGGGTGCAACCCAAGTCAACTATTACACATAGAAATTGAGGGTAAATAATCTAATTGTTTTAGTATAAATCTACCAGTCGTTCAAAACTTTATCTAAATCCTCTTCACAGACACTTCAAAAACACCGAGAAGCAGCCGTCATTTTGTTAACAACGGCACACTGCTACGCTACTCACTATCTATCACAGAATAGATAGTGAGTAGCATAGCCAATCAGAGAATGGCATCTGTGATAGAACGCTAGTAGATTTATATATGCTAAAAGTAATTAGACAATGGCAAGAGAACTAATCAGATTAGTGGATTGACAGTCTAATCTAGAGCAAGTGCTTACGTATATTACATTACATATGTATTACATTTCTTTGTAAAATTTTCCTCTTACTGCTGGTATAAAGTACTCTAGGAAATAGGTTTAAACAAATTGTTTCTTAAGACATTAAAAAGTCTGTTGTGTTATTTTTATCAGATCTTGGTACTAATTTTATCAGACCAATTAACCTATGGCTGTAGTCTTTTCTTGATCCATTCTAGAACATCTTTGAGGAACATCTCGGCACTCTCTTCCAGTTCATTCAGTAGTTCATGATAGCAGCCTTCATAGATCTAACAACCAAACAAGTTGATATAACCATCCGTCAAGAGACTGTGTTAGGTTATTATGATTAATTTATAGCCTTGCTCAACAATTGTATGTATTAGGATCATACAATGCCATTCCAAAGGCATAGAAATTTATTAAGCCACATCCTATAAAGCTTCATTTGCAAAGTCTACATGTATGTATCTTTCTCTGTAGACCCTATCCATAAATGGCTGCCAATTAAAAATAATTATTTTGTAAGTATTAAAATTAGCCCAACTAACCTTGTTTTTGAGTTGATAATTCAAAAGAATTTTTACTTTCAAATGAGGTTAGTTAGGATAATTTAAATACATACAAAAGAAATTTGAATTGGCAGCCATTTATGAATAGGGTCTATACATTGAGTGAAAATTCTGACATAGGGATGACATTTAAAATTGACGTTAAAATTCTGACATGGGCATTGAAATAGGGATGTGGAGGCTCATGAATGAAGTGACAATAACAGAAAGACTGTGCATGTTGAAACACTGACAGACATGCTGACTTTGTGAAATTGTGATATAAAAAGGATTTGAGAATTTATTCAGACTGGAGAGATTCCTCTGTCTCTTCACTCTCCAGTGAGGGTCTCTACATTTAAATGAACCCTTGACTGGAGTGGATACAGGATTTTAACGAAGGGGTATCGAAGGTGGGTCCCTGTAGGTGGGTCTGGGAGACTTTTGCCCCTGGAAAATTTTTAAAATTGAGGTTCTCGGAGGTGGGATGGCTGGCATTCTGAGGCCAAGTCAGTGTGTTATAATGTCATTTTTTATTTTTTTTATTTTTAATTTAGGGGGTTCAGCTGAATCTCCTGAACAACCCCCTAAATCTGTGCCAGCTTGAGGTCAAGTTATCTACCTCTTTGCACTCATAATGAACCCAAGATGTTAGAGTAGGTATCTCTCTGTATGCATTACAGACCTATGCTGGTGGATAAGTGTTGGGAGCATTTGTAGTCCAGGCTGTTAAGTCTTACCTTAAATGTTTGATCTTTACTCTGAGTATGCTTATCCAGGTACTTTGAGCTATCATTTTTCACAACGTGATCAGCACTACCACAAGCAAGAAAATATGGCACTTTTATTGTAGAACTTTTGCGCTGAATTTTATCCATAGCAGTTAACATTGCATTGGCCCACTTGGCTTTCAGTCCTCCATGCCAGTTTAGTGGATCATCAACATATTTTTTAACCTTAAAGATAAAATCGCATTCAGTTAGCCAGGCCAAGACTGGGTAGGGCTTATGGAGGGAAAAATTGCACCCCTCGATCCTTCCATCCCTGCTCTCACTCTCACTCACCCTCTACCCCTATTTAACACCTGCTACACAGGCTACATGTGGGAGGCACGGTGGCCTCATGGTTAGTGTGCTTGTCTTTGGATCGAGCAGCCCGGGCTAGAGCTCTGGCTGGGGACATTGTGTTGTGTTGTTGGACAAGGCACTTTACTCTTACGGTGCCTCTCTCTACCCAGGTGTATAAATGGGTACTGGCGAATTTAATGCTGGGGGTAGCCTTGCGATGGAGTAGCATTCCGTCCAGGGGAGAGTGGAAATACTCCTAGTCGCTTCATGCTACGGAAACTGAGATAAGCTCCGGCCTGATGGGCGACTTGGCTCGTATGCAGACTTTACTTCTACACAGGCTACATTCAATTTGTTTGTTTTAAAATGGACTTTTGGGAATGTTTTTGTCGAGAATGTGAAATGGAAAGTTGTTCCTCTGATTTTCATGGCATACAAAACTGCCTTTAGTAAAGTATTAATTGAGAAATTTGCATGTAGCTTTTCTCCTCAAGTTGAAATCTTAAGTAATTGGCAGGTTACAGTAATGTAGTAATGTTCATACTGCAGAAGGTTTGGTATGTTTTACATATGACTACTTTCAATTTGTTTGTAACAATGGGTAACCAATGTAATGTAAATGTGTTACTTTGTAATAATGTTGTAATCGACTGAGGCAAAAAAAATACTTTAGTGCAAGCCATTGCACTCCTGTACATCTATATCATATAAAATGGGGACTGTGGGAAGTTAAGAAGTCTGGAATCTATATTTTGCAACATTATGTTCAGACCATGACTTACCTCTTCAGGATTCTGAGTTATAAGAGATGGATCAATGGGCGGTATAACCTGATACGAGGGTGCAATCCATGCAGCTATTTTTCCAAGGAAAACCTGTATTGTGAATATTAATTTGCTCATCATCTCAATGATTAAAATATCAGTTAACAATAGTTGTTTATCACAATGAAATAAATATACTTGGGTTTATCCTTGAACATAGAGTGTATTATTGTTAATTATTTGTTGTAATATAAATTTGCAATCTTTAAGTCACTCTGTCAAAATGCACGTTTATCATAATTTAACTGTAACCACATATACCGGTAAGAACTTGCTTGATCTTGCTTGGCTAAGCAAGTTCCTATATTTTTGCATATTAAAATGGCAATTTTACTAATTACCAGTTGCCACAGGCTGCCACTAACCAGAGGTAAATGTAACCCAGCTCTGAGAACAGGCAATTCAATATAGTTGCAAAGTGCTGATCATACAACGAAGCTTTGTTGAGCTGTGGTTATTCATAGTCACAAGTAATACAGTAGAAGAGAACATAGGTAGGTAGGTAAAGTCTGTGTATGAGCCAAGTGGCTCATCAGACCAGACCTTATTGCCGTTTCAGTAGCTTGAAGCGACTAGGAGTATTTCTACTCCCCCATGGATGGGATGCTAGTCTATTGCAGGGTTACCCCCCCCCCCACATTAAATTTGGCAGTACCCATTTATACACCCGGTGGAGAGAAGCTTTGTGAGAGTTAAAGAAGAGAACATTAGGATTTATTAATCCTGAGCATGTAGTTTGCTTCAGTCACTTGTGGCTTCTTCATGAGAAATTGTAGAAAGCAAGTCAAATCAATTGTAACTGAAAATTACCTTACAGGAGCTGACCATCTCTGGATCTACTGTCACACTTGGTCCACTAAAGACTGCACCAGTGAAGAAATCAGGTCTGTCCATGACAGAGAGAATGGCAATTGTTCCTCCCTGACATGAAAGAGATGTATCGCATTTTATTAGCTGAATTTTATGCAGACATCTAGAGAAATGCAGTTTTTGTACAGTTATTGCAAGAGCTTATATTCATTACCCCCCCCCCCTGCAAAGACCTACAAATTTTAACATTCGAGCTCCCTAACATTATTTATCCTTCTCCAGTTTCTAATTTCCTCATATTGTTGCACAATGACAAAGGTACAAATAACCATCTACCAACTTAACATTAATTTTGTAACTTTCCCTGCTACTTTATTATTTTTTTCATTAATTACTAAACCAAAATGAACAATTTAACAACTCAATGCTGTCTCCCTCAGGTTTGAAGATGAATCACCCGGTGCCCCACCCCCTAAGGCTTAAAAGGGTATATGTGCAATAAAATCTTTTTTTCATGCTCCCCTGGTTGGGTTTTTCAATGGCACTTCAACTTACCATGGAGTGACCAAACATAAATATTGGTATTCCAGCATTGTCTGCAGTGACTTGATCAATGTGTTGAAAGACATCTCTGAGATATAAGTCAAAATCTGACACCTGGACTCTTTCACCATCACTGTGGCCATGGCCAACTGACGAAAAAAAAACCTTATTTACATAATATTTTATATCTAATGTTTAAGTGTACAAAATGTTTCTAGTTTTTACTTTTCTAAAAGGATTTGTATTGTTACAGGAAAAATATCCATTTCCCTCCCACCACCTTACATCTCACCACTACCCCTCTGAAAAATTGCAGTGTACTATAAATAATTATTTTTGTAAATCCTTTGGCCTTTGAGAGCTGTCCCCAGTGATTCAATGATCTTTCATGAGTTTTGTATAGCTACTTTCTGGAACCACACCTTTCAAATTTATTTTCTACTCTTTTTTATATATCCACAGACATTAATTCAAAGTCACAGATTTTAAATCACGGATGTTTTTAAAACAAGAGGGTCAAGAAATTTTTCATAATGTTTAGTGTGACGCTTACTCTCCTAGTGTCATGCAGATTATGGGTAGAGAGAGTTAATCATACCGTGGTCGTGGCTAAAGGCTAAGCAGCCTAGATCTGCCAAAGCCTTTCCTAGTTTTTCATAACGTGAGCAGTGCTCTGCAAAGCCATGACAGATGAACACCAATGCCCTGTTTGAAAAAATAAAAACTTTGTCGTCACCGAGTTCATGTTTCGTCTTAAATTCCCTCCTTGCAGCCAGTGGTAAAACACTAAATTAAGGAAAGTACGATATGTCGTCAAAACCCAGGTTATGGTATATTAAATTCCACAATTTAGCTTTTTGTGTAAATTATATAAGACGAGAACACGAGGACTCGAAACGAAACCATTGCCACTAGAATCAGAAACCATTGAAACGTCCGAAACGAGACTTTTGATGGGTTTGATCCGGAATCAAACTTGATTATTTATGATATATCCTTCAGAGCTTTGCAATGTTGCCCTGCAAAATTTGTTTTTCTCGACAATGCATGTGTAATGAGATCGTAAATATGAAATATTAGCTGTCGTGGCTCAAGTTCTTCAAAATACGCAGAACTTGGTCGTTTCACGTTGTTATTTTGCAGACGGCAAAGAAATGTACAAAGATTTATAACGCACGTGCACAGCCATTGCTCTCTCTCCAAACGGTTTATGAAGGAAATAACAGACAAATATAAAGATCACCCTTTAGTCTTTGCATCGTGAGGTAAGCTTATTTCATAACCGAACGAGCTATTTTTCTCGAGCCCTGATTTTGAAATCCAAATAACCAAATTATGGCCATATTCTGCATAGCTGTGAAGGCCGATAAGCTTGCGGAAATTATCGGATCATTTGAGCTTACAAGCTGAAAAGTCATAAAAGCTAACTACATTAACAAAATTAACAAAATTAGACGGTGCGCAAACACATGATAAATCGCTTGAAATATAAAACACTCTAACTTTAAGTTCATCAAGAAAATTTGGTCTTTAATCTTACCTCGGTGGCTTTTCGCTGGGTGTCCAATATTTTGTGAAAATTTTAAGGCCATCGGCGTTTTTAAATGAACCTTCCTCAGTGCCAGTAAGCTTAATTGCTTGGTGGCTAGTCATTTATAGTTTTCTTGGCCAATTAGTTTCAACAAAAGCTAGGTAAATCTACTTTCGGGAAAGAAAACATCTGTAACACAGCCAAATACAACTAGCCGAGCTAATTACTGAAGCGTGCGAAAAAAATTCATTTATTTGCTCGCATGCAAATCTGCATCACCAAGCCCACCAACTGCGAGCAGGGATATTTGGCGGGAAAATCATTCTGGCCTAGCGGGGGTAGGGAAGAGGGAAAAAAGGTTAAACTTTGTTTAAACCTCGTTCATGTCTCAATTTATGTCGCACTACTACTAATAGCATAAGAAAATGATTAATCAAGCTACATGTACTCAAAACCCTTTGCGTTGGAAGCCATTTTACTGCTGTTAATTACTGATCTGTTACATGCTTGTAACTAACAGAGAAACGTCCTGATTCTAGGGCACCCAGGGTTAGAAATAATTTTTACCCCAAGTCAGTCCACTGTACAATCGTAGTACCCACCCTCTTAGGTTTTAACGAATCATTTAATAAAATTTCCTTGGACAAAGAGCGTGACATAATGTGACCTTTTTCCTGCGTTATCTTCCCACCCTCTCCCAGCTGGGAGGCTTGTAGTCCCCATGCCAGGCCACTAAGGTCAGGAGGCCAGGTTACTAACATCCGTCAAAAGATTAGGGAAGACATTTTGTAAGGAACTTCTTTTGTAAAGTTGTAATTCGATAAAAATGCCGGTTGAAAATCTCGAAGAAGAAGGCTTACCAAAAAATCCTAACCTTGAACTAGCTGCCTGGCGTTTTACTATAACGAATCCTGATGGGAAAGACAAAGAAGAAGCGAAGAAAAGACTTTTGGATGCTATCAAAGAAAACGGTATGTGAAATTCTGTTCCACTTTGTGCTTAGTCATATGTAAGCACGCATGTTGGAGGATATCGAATTTATTATCATTTATAGCGTTTTCTTCCTACAAATTTGCCTCTGCCTAACTCAGCTAAAAATAATACTGACTTCAACTTACAGATTAAAGCTTGACGGATGAAATATACCCTTTAAAATTCGAGTTCAAACCAACAAACTTGAATAAAGCTCACTTACAAAGCATGTAAGGTTAAGTTTTTATCCCTAGATTTGGTATTAACTATATCTAAGTTTGTCCAAAATTCTGGCCATTTCAGGTCAGTGACTTGATATTGTACTATATCAGGATGGTAGAAAAGGCTTCTGATTGGCTACATGTAGTTGCAAATTTGGGTATGGTATATACAGTCAAACTTCTCCTTATGGACACCTCTGTAAATATGATCACCTATATTAAGGATAGTTAAAATCTTAAAAGTTGTTGTCACTGACTTAAAAATCTTAAAATAGACGTTTCGGCTAAACTACTATAACCTTCTTCAGTGATGAAACTTTAACATTCATTTCATCACTGAAGAAGGTTATAGTATTTTAGCCGAAACGTCTATTTTAAGATTTTTAAGTCAGTGACAACAACTTTTAAGATTTTATTACTATGCCTGACTACAACTACAGTATTTTTAAGGATAGTTAAGTTAGTCCCAAAGAAACCAGGATTCGTTCCATTTCTTCCTCTATAATATACGTCCAACTCCATAATAAGGAAACTCAGATCTGCTCTTTTGGGGTCTGTATTTAAGAGGTTTGACACGCAGGCTTAGTGGTTCGCTAACTATAGTGGACTCTGGATTGACAAGTCCAGGCTCAAGAATTGGCCAGGGTTGATTTGTGTTCTGTTCTCAAGGAGAACACTTCACCCAGGTGTTAGATGAGTATCAGTGGACTGAAAAAGCAACCTAGGGAACACTGGGTGGGAACTTGCTTTTGAGTGGTAACCCATATAGTGGGAGAAGCAAAACTCCCAGTGATCTTACATTACAGAAATCTAGATAGCAGCAGACATGTCATACTTTTGCTATGGCCTACTTATTATTCAACTTGCTTTGTAATCATTCATTCAACTGAAGATGACAGAAGTTCTGTCGAAACATGTCTTTTAAACTTAAAAAATTGGTCGTTTTCCTTAGAATCATTACAGAAATCATATTTAAGGTGGCTCAAAACAGTTTTCAGCACTTATTTTGAAAATTTAAGGTGGCTCTGAACCCTATGTACAGAATTTTTTAAAACTTTGCACAAGTTGTCTTGTCATTTTTGAATTATAAGCCCCTAAAGCTGTGACTAAAGGAGTTTTTAGCAGGTCATACTTTTGCTATGGTAACCTATTGTGTCACAAAAATGGTAATGTGTTCACCAGTGATTGGGCAGATTTTTGACACCATGATTGTAGCATCAAGTGATAAAGAGTGGTAATAATGATCAATCAAAATCTAAGTGCTGGGAACTGTTTTGAGCCATCTTAAGCAAGAACTCCAATACAGTGTCATCTGGCTCCTGTTATTCCAAGTGTTGGAATGTTTGTATATAAATTGTTTTGTCTACTGACTACTGAAAGTATCACAATGATTCTTTCAGACATGGCACCATTCTATGAAGAGCTCTGTACCGATTTGAAGTGGCCCGTAGATAACTCACTGTTGGCAAAGATGCAGTCTAACAATGAGGAGACATTCAAGAAGCTTGATGAGACCCTAAAAGATGCAGAGGAAAACTTAGGAGAAACAGAAATCAGAGATGCTCTGTATGCAAAAGCAGAGCATCTCTGTAAGATTGGCGATAAGGTACAGTATAGCAAGCATTTCTAGTTATGATTCTGTCATTCAGAACATGGGATAACTCAACTGATAGTGAAAACATAATGTGTATGACAGAGTTTTAGAATATAGTAACAAAGAACTACATCATCACATCCTTTTCCCTATAAGGGAAGGAAGGCCTTCCATTCTCACTCACCTAGCTTCTTGGTTCTTAGCGCATGTACAAGCACCAGCCTGTCTCTGAATTCAAACTCTCCCCTTTCCCTCTCCACAGTTCGTCTCCAAGTATCCCTAGGCCACACTTCCATCAAATGTTCAATGGTGAACTACCACTACCAATAATGGCCTTAAACAATTGTCATGCACGCTTTTACTTTTCTACAAAGTACAGGACGACCTTGATTGAAACAGCTATACATTAATTTGTTATCTCAGCAAGTACCGTCTTCCTTTTGTACAGGAAAAGGCCTTGAGTGTTTTCCGCTTGGCTTATGACAAAGCTGTAGCACTTGGGTACAAGCTGGATATTATTTTCTACCAGATTCGCATTGGACTCTTTTATTTGGACAATGATTTGATTACCAGGAGTATAGACAAAGCCAAAACGTAAGTATTTCCCATTCTCCAGCAATTCACCAGTACCTATTTACACACATGGTTGGAAAGAATTCCTGTAAGTTTTAATGACATTCGTGCCCAACATATTCCCAAATACAGACTTTTTAAATTAAAACCTGCCAATGATGCAGTAAGGCAAAGGTCAACTTTTGCCAAGTTGCCTTTTGCTGTTTTTGTTAAAATGGAGAAAATCAGTATTTAAAAAGTGATCATCTATGAAAAGAAAAGAGGGGATCACTGACCATTGTAGGCAAACTTAGCACACCCAGTGCCAAGCCCTATACTTGCTCCTATTTGTTCCTTAGCACATGCACTTGAGGTATGACGTGGCGTGATGTTGCAACATGAATTACGTGTACAGTAAGGATGCACAGTAACAATGGACATGAATGTTTCAAGTGCCTTCCTATAGCTTTTTTTACTCAGTGAGATAGATCTCTTTAGTTTCGTTGTTTTTTGTCCCATTGGCGATCGTTTTGATGTTAGTTGTTTTATCAACTATTTCCTTTTTAAAGATAATTGTGCATAAGCACCACCTCATCACTTCACCCTGGTTAATTACTTTTAAGACAACTTGTACCAATGATTGATTACTTTTTGTGAAACAGGTTAATAGAAGAGGGTGGAGATTGGGATCGCCGCAACAGGCTCAAAGTATACCAGGGAATTTACTTTTTATCAATCCGAGACTTCAAGTCCGCAGCCAACAATTTCCTAGATAGCATTTCCACATTTACATCTTATGAACTGATGGACTACAAGACATTTGTCACATATACTGTACTTGCAAGCATGATTGCATTGGAGAGGGTAGACCTCAGAACAAAGGTAGGTTACGAATATTACATGGATTTAATATGATTTTTTTTTTGTTTAGATGGCCAGTTCTAGAAGTTTGGCCAAGTATGTTTAATTTATTTCTTCAAACATAAAATGCACTGTTATAAAATGCTGTTGAAATGAGAATATTTAGTGAGTTGTTAAATGGGGAACAAATTGTAATTAATTAGTTTTTAAGTAGCTCTTATGCATGCCCCTTCCACATTCCTTTTGAACCCCATCCTAACCCCCTTTCATCCTCCTGTAAATTTTACCGTTGGGTTGGTACAGATATTTTCTGGAAGTACATGATCTTAAAAAGTCTGTCTGACTGAGAACAGAAGCTCGTGTTTGCATGTAGCTTAAAAATGTAATTTAAAGGTTCTTTTTATGTATCTTTAGTTGAGACATGTACTTCAATTAAGACTAGTAAGTAATTTAAGCATTCTTGTAGTTTAATTTTAAATGATATTCTTTCCAAAGGTTGTGAATGGTGCTGAAATCCTTGAGGTTCTCCATCAGCTTCCTGTTGCAAGCCAGTTTCTGTTGTCCCTGTATAACTGTCATTATGCAGACTTCTTTCTTGCATTAGGTAAGAAAAGAGGAAAATTATTTAAGGTTACTTTTCACCTTTGAAGGTGACTTGCATCCAAGCAATGTAGCATGTCCGGTTTAAACTGTAGATACCTAAACCGTTATATCAAAGTAATTAAAGCTCATAGAGCTGACTATCAAAATATACCAAGAATTTTGAAATAAAATGCACTGTCAAATTTTCACAACCTCTGAATGTGAGTATCCGAATCACCTTTTGAAAACTACTTCCTTAGTTTAAATCCTCAATTGCACTCACATTCATACATGTATGATTACCCATACTTATTTAGATTTAAGGTTAATGATTTTGAGTGTATCTTTTTATTTCTACACTTTTTACAGCAAAGATTGAGGACTTTCTCAAGCAGGATAGATTACTGTCTCCACACTGCAGATACTACATCAGGGAGATGAGAATTCATGCCTACACACAACTGCTGGAGTCATACCGCAGTCTTACTGTGCAATACATGGCTAATGCTTTTGGAGTTAGTGAGGAGTTCATTGACAAGTGAGATAATTATGTATAATTTCCACTCACTTTACTAGTCTAGTAAATAGCTGCTGATGTTTCAGGTACCAATGTCATTCCCAGAGGTGGCTGGCTGCAATCTTTTTGGTTAGCAACAAGAAATTGAGACCTCAGGGAGTAATCAGAAGAAGCAGAATTTTCTAGTTCCATTTGGTCACAACTAACTAAAGGTGTGCAGGCTCTGGTATGAGATTGTTCATGTACAGCATGTACAGTCTAGTCTGATCTGGACATCAATTGATCATGGATGTCACAGCTCAGGTGCTTGACTATTAAGTTGATGAAATCTGATGGTGGATTTCTTGAGAGAAACAAATGAATGAAGTGAATGAACTAGCGAACAAATGGACAAACGAACAAACAAATGCACCAATGTCCAAACAAACAAATGAACAAACGAACAAATGAACGAATTGCCTACTAAAGCTTAGATAAAAGAACTTCCATGTCACTGAAAATGAAAGGCCGAGGTCTGAGGCATCCCAAGATAGTAGAATTTGCTTTACTTGATTCAAGGGAAATTAAAGTGGAAATTCTTCTGACTGTGCATTGTATATGTTGTGTCTTCTAGAGAACTTTCAAGGTTTATCGCAGCGGGAAGACTGAACTGCAAAATTGACAAAGTTGGGGGAGTTGTCGAAACCAACAGGTACTTGTGTGTGGTATAGTGAATTAAAATAGATCTCCAAATGTTAAAATCATTAAACATGGTGCTACAAAAATTATCTAACATCAGCAAAAGGGAAAAATGTGAAGACATTTTCATGAACTTCATGACTTGCAGAAGCTTGGTTTTCACAAGCGCTAATAACCATCATTTATTTTTTTATTTTTTTTATTTTTTTTTTTGCTCACTGGGAATCACCATCAATGATTATATGCACAAGCATATGTATACACTTGCCGTACAACAAAACCTAACGGTTTGTTTTAGCACTTCAAGTCACCCGTCAATAAGAATGTGCCTTGTTTATGTTTTGCAAAGAAATCTAGGAAAGAAATTTTGTACAGTATATGCTCTTTCTTTGCAGACCGGATCATAAGAACTGGCAGTACCAGGTATGTGCTGAAACTTTATTGCACACTCCCAAAAATGGGTTTTTCAGTGAACAATATAGATACCACGAAAATACAATAAATAGTGCCAGTACCACATGTTTTAACTTACTCCAACATTTACCTAAAACTCTGATTTGTTTTTCCTTTTCTAGGCCACCATAAAACAGGGAGATTTGCTTCTAAACAGAATCCAGAAACTCAGCCGAGTTATTAACATGTAGGAAGATGATAACTTACTGGATGGAATATAAAAGACAAGAACTTTAATTTCCTCCAAACAAACTGTTAAGATCCAGAATTTCGGTTATTTAATATGCTTTTTGGAACAATGCACATCAGTTGACTATGTAGACAACATTTTCCCTAACAAAAATTAAAAAAGCCATTGTTTGGATACGATAATGGTTTAAGTATGCATAATACCATTTGTTTTGTCTTTTCCAGTGTCATTATTGTATTATTTTGTGGTTTATCACATACTCAGACATGTGTGCAAGGCACTGTGCCTTTTTGTTCTTGCTGTGCCACAGTTGGGCTTATTCTCATGTGCTTGCTTCTCCTCTTTATAGCAAAGATCAAAAAAGAATCTGCTTTCGACTCTAGGCCAGTGTGAACCTGCAAAACGGGGGGATTGCCTTAGTGGCAGTGACTCACAAGAGAGCTCACATGCAAAGGGAAACAAAAAAAAGGTTCGGGATGTCAGGGATTTGAGATAGCCCAAAGTAAGAGACTGGAAAAAGATATGCAAGGGAAAAATCAAAATGATTTGAGTTTGAGAAACTGGAAAGTTCAAGATAACCAAGTTTGCGATAGCAACATTCTGTACATGACTTTGCATTCACTGGCAACTAACTGATGGGCAAGAGGAACTTTCTTTCAGTAAAAGTGGTTACTAGTTTATTATTAGTGATAACCAGGTTTAAAAAAGCTAAGGAGGGCAATCTTGGCTGCACATGGGCTGGCTTAAACCTCAAGTGTGCTCTGCAAAGGTTTCAAACTCTGAAATTGTTTAATGAGTGGTAGAATTGCTGGTGTTGTAGCTGTGTCAGAGTGTTTTGTTCCTCTGACAATCAAGTGTAGAAGAAGGAGATCCAAAAGCATGTATTGCGATTGGACTGATCACTATGTTGTAAACCCATCAACTTTATTTCGGTACTGCTTGACAAACAAATGGATATCTGAAAGACATCATAACTTGTGATTTATCTTTTACATTTCCAATATCCCAAATAATTATTAACATCATTGGATGAGGTTGAGCAAAATATTGTAATCTGTCAGTGGTGTACTGATCAATTGTTTGCCGAAGCTGAAGGCTAAGGCAATTAATTTATTGATCTGCAAGACACTGACAAATCGCGATATTTTGCGAAAACTGAGTTCAGTAATTTTTTAACCATTCAATCACCAAGTTTGTTTTCCGTATATAAATCCTTCTTTAACAGCTCAGAGAAGCAATCTGCAATTTTTCACTGGAGATGGTACTATGAATGAGCAGACCATTATTTGTAGGCAATTATTTGCAGGTCATGTGGTGGGCTCTCAGCCAATGAAAAGGAAGAAAAAATGTAACAAATGATAATCTTTTTTGCCATACTTTCAAAGACAAACTTAGGTATCAATTCACATTCTAAAGGCAGTTGATAACTTTAACGACTTTATTCCTCATGAGATTGAAGTTTAAATTGACCTTTGCAAGTAAATCGTGTTATATTATCTTGTTACCAACATACTGAGATTAACTTATTCTCTTATAAATCTTAATGGCAGAAGCCACAATACATATTAAATAATTATTATCAATGGGAACTGCATAATCATAACACTTCACTAGTAGTAGCACTGAAGTATCAGGGTAACAAACAACTTCTAAGTAACTGTTTTAAAATCTCCTTAATGTAATACAAGTCTCCAAAATATGTTACAAACCATTTTACTTTGCTTTCAATCCATTTCTTGTGTAAAAATATAGGAAAACAGCTAAATTCCACAGTTCCAGATTGTAGAAGTGTCTGTTCATTTTTATACTAATTAATAATTTTTAACTATCAAAGGTTCACAAGTAGCTGTTGCTAAAACTGGTTTCTGTTTCCTTTTGTGAATGTTTACCCCAAAGATTTCTCTTGAAAAAGCTGGACTGTGGAGGCTTTCAATAACTGCTTTTCATAGAAATCCCAGACACCATAACTTCAAATTACTGTTAGTAAAGTCTTGTACTCAGCGAGGACCCTGTCATTTTCAGCAAATGGTTCTTTTTATAACTATTATTCGAAGATAAATCTTTCCTTAATTCATTAGAAACAGTTTGTAAGACAATGATACATGAAAGTTTTGTAGCCATGTCTCCACATGCAAATACAGTCAAACCCCTATTAAGCGGCCACCCATTAAATGGCCACCCCTATTAGACGGGCAGTAATCAAAGTTCCAATGAGGGCTTTTCTATTGTTTTTACCTCTATTAAGCAGCCAGCCCACTGTAAGCAGCCACTACCCATTTCCCCGAGGGTAGCCGTTTAATTGGGGTTAAACTGTATTTTTCCTTTTAATGTATAGAGTGTGGTTTCCAGTTGAGCATCATAAATAATCACTCTAGCCAATCACCGTTGACACAGAAAATCCAGTGAACCAATCAAACCTCAAAGCAAATACATTTAGACAGGTAGAAGAGTGGAAAAACATACATGTATGCAAGTGAGTTGCAATTGGTTTTGGTTTTTCTTCTAATTGAATGACCAAGTGTTGCAAGTTTTTTGAGCCAATCTCTTAGCATGGTAAATAGAAAACCAAAGCAAATGCACTGTAATGGCAAAATATTACTTTTGACACTCAAGTGAAAATTACTCCATGAATTCTATGGCTAGCTCCGTGAGTTGGCAAGACGAATTGAATCCTGCATTGTGATTGGCTACCCAAGCAGGCAAGAGGGCACTATCTGTCCCGCAAGTAAAATTTCCCCCAAACCCATACAGTAAATCCTTTATTGACCAAGCTTGTTCGGTCAAGATGGCTGGATATTGGCCTCGTGCTTTTTTGCAAGTTTGTGGACTACAACTCCATCTCAGTAAATGAACTCACAAAAAAAAGAACTTGGTCAACATCCAGCCATCTTGACCGAACAAGCTTGGTCAATAACCCTTATCTATACACTGTGTTATTATTATGACAGATACAATCTTGAAATCTCAATATGACCGTTTTTAGAGCAATCTATAAGGCCTCCTAACACAGATGTTACAAAACTGTAGTTTTAAAGTGTTAATGATACTTTGAATCAGAATTTCCATAAAATAAATAGCTATAAGATTAATTTTTGAAACAGATGCTAAGACTTTCTGCAAAAATGTTTGTGAAAGTATACATTTGCACATATGCATAGCAAAATTGTTGTAAGGGAATTGAAGTAGATCATCTTTCGGAATTTAGGATCCACATCTCCTTGTCTGTACCAATATATCTGTGAAGAGGATTATTCATACTTCAGTACATAACTCCTTCAGGGAGGGGGACATCCATGTCTAATACACACTAGTGAAGTCACATGGACACTGGCTTGAGTCTGATTGGACTAAGTAGAAGTCTAGCCATCAAATTAAAAGTTTTTCAATCAACCATGTTTTCCTGTGTTGGAGCTCACACTGTTAGAACAAGGTTTACATGTAAATATGTATTTTGACCTTCCTATGTGGCGTTTAATTTAGCAAGTCACCCGCCAATCCAGTTAACCATGAATATTCAGTTTCATGACTAGACTTCTGGTTGGATCTGATGGACACCAGCTCCATCCTTTCCATGTTAAAAAAAAAAAAAAAACATTTTCAGTAATAGTCCAGTGGACTAGAAAAAACCTAGAGGACTATTTGCACAGTGTATGTGTGGGGCAATCCTTAAGAAAGAAGGAAATACAGTGGCCAACTGGTAAGGCTCCAGATAAGGGCAAACCTGCCGCTCACCCATTGCTTTGCATTTACTGGCCCAGTAATCTACAGGTATCCAAAATCAGGAAGTACAATGTAGGTACCACACCAGGGGTGGATGATCTAGGGGGAGGGTGCAGGGGATGTGCACCCCCCCCCCTGAGATGAAGCCTTCTTCTTTGTATCCGCTTTTCAAATTTGTTCACCTCACCAGTCAGTTATGCCATTCCTTAGTGGTGCACACCCTCCTAAGAAAAATCCTGGATCTGCCTCTGCACACTATTGCCAGATGAAGATGTCCAGTTTGAAATGTCAGATGTTTCTCGCCCTAATACCAAATACCGAGTCCCTGAGAAGACATCTGACTTTTTAGATAACAAGATGTATTGTTGGGGTCACTCTGCTGTGTTTCTGGACAAGACATTATCTTCAAAAAGAATATCCTGCACTATCAGACTAGCTTTTGTTCACAAGACAGGGCTGCCATCTGCTTTGGTTGGTCAGCTAACTTTGGGGGAAAAAAAACTTTTTTTCACTAATATTCAAAGCTAATTTCAGCTGGGATTTTCCAGCTTTATGGTGAGCAACTTTTAGACTCAGTGTAATCCCAGCAAAAGAAGGTGACAAAGAACTCTGTTTGACTATAAATAGGGATATGAATAGCCTGCAGAGCCAGCGTTCCTGTGCGAAGAGCTTTTCTACATTCTGGTAAGCGAGAGCAAAAAATCAACGAGGCAGGGTTAGTGGTTCCCTCTCTCGCCCCACCACCCACTACTTTGTTGGTTTTTTACTCTTACCACAATTTCTGCGTGGTCAGAATGTGGAAAAGTTCTCTGTACAGGAACACTTGCCATGCAGGCTAGGATATAAATAACCTAATAACAGAATTAACTTACCAAAGTGAGTTCTGATATACATATCAATGCAATAACGGAGGCAAGAAACACATTAATTGCTGGAGGTGGGAAGTGTGGGAACACCAAGGAGCTTATTAATGTCTCCTGCAAGAGATAAACATTATTATTTCTTGAGAGATTAAATCATTTTAGTCATCTGCAAATTATGTGAACGACTAAATATAAGAGAAGATGACACCTAAATATTGGGAGGTGCAGTGATCTAATGTTTAACATGTCGGACGTAGGTCAAGTGCTGGCCAGGGTCTTTTTTGTTGTGTTCATAGACAGGAGTATGAAATTATGGGTACAGGTAAATTGTATACTGAGTAACCTGACAAAAATGCTTGAATCCCTTGTAGGAATGATGAATAGAACTCCCAAACATGGTTGTTTCCTGCTGTACAAAAATTACAATGTAGAACTCTGACCTGGAAGCAGGCCAGTAAATTAAGGTCTACGCTTATAGACAGACATAAGGAGACTGCATGTCTACATGTAAGCTTGTGGACACACATAAGGAGAGAATCTGGCTGTACACAGGCTAACTTTATCTTGTTTTCTAATTAAATATTATATATATACACTTTCCATGAGCCATCACTTCATTGTGGTCTCACGCTTTGTCAGGTGAAAATAGCTAAAACTGCCCAGCCCATCAACATCATCAACATGCAAACACTGCATTTCCAACTTCCTTTTAGCAAACAAGTCTAGTAATAGGGCACTTCCTCTTCCTGGTAGGACTGTGTAATAATTTTTGACAAAATTTCATATTACAAGAAAGTTCAATAATAACTGATTAGAAACATAACAGCAGTATGTACAGACTGATGAACCATGTGATGCAAATTTAAGCTACAGTCTATGTTTGAATCACACTTGTAGCTTGCTTATGTTACATATATTAGAGAATGGGACACGTTCTAATCGTTTCAGCAAATTGTTTAAAAAGTTGATAAACGGGTATCAGATTAAATTTAAAAAGGTATGGGCTGGGTAATAGAATTTGACTGCAGCTATGCAAAGAGTAAAGTTATCATTTTGTATGAAGTCATCATCTCTACATGAATCGCGTGACTTCATGTATCCAATCTAAGCATATGGAACAATGTCGAAATTTGTACTTACACACACTAACAGGACAGTAGCACCTCCAATAATATAATTCAAATAGCGATCCTGCAGAAAACAAATCGAAATATTAAAAAAAAATGAAAACAAAAGTCATCAAACGAAACCAAAATATTTGCGCTACACATTTTCACTGCATTTATTTTCTTATTTTATATAAAATATGTAACAAAGTTATCAATGGATTATGTCTTGAAACTGCAACATCTCCTAAAAGGTTAACACTTCTATAAAATACACTTAAGCTTGTTATAACGAGCCAAAATCATACTGTGCGCAAGAAAAAATGAAACTAAAAATGTTTCTACACAGTTTAATAGAAGTGTTAGCTAGTGTTGTAATCAGAATTTAAAAGTTGCTGCGGTCAAGTAATGCTAAACTCGTGATGATCCGTTCGAATTCGCGAATAACAAACGTGCGTAACTATTTAATACCTACCCTAGGTCTTGCTTCTCCAAACAAAGGCCTGTCCATTCCACCATCGGTATGCGCATACATGCTTGCTATAGCATCTCTCTATCGTCTTCTCAAGAAAGATAGCTGACTATTTGTAGTGTAAATTTATGAGGCCGCTCGCATGTCACACAAGTTCTCTCACGTTCTTTCTCCAAGTTCACCCGTCCAATGAAAACTCTTGGTTGTCTCGCGTATCTCTCAAAACTTTGGAATAGCTATCCCCAAATATGAACGTGTGAAGGCTGTCTCTGAGTTTTAGAAAGAATTCTTGGAACAATCGGACCTATCCGCTGCCCTTTTGAGTACTTTCCAACTGTACTTCGCAATAGCCTGAAGAGCCCGCAATCCAAGATATATTTTCAGCACGTTCGATTTGTGCGCATGCCCTAAAGTTCATTCTTTCGAAATTCAAGATGGCGGCGTTGACGCGCGCTGGAAGTTTACCTTCTATTTGTAGAAAATGCGCTGGGTTAACGAACAGATTTTGGCTTCGATCTCCACAGGTGAGTTGAAGGTTGTTTGAGATATATTTTCTACCCTTTCTTGCTGAGCTGAGCGGAATTTTACAGCATTTATTGAGGCTAACACTTGAGCGAAAGACGTATGCATGCGTGGCAACGTAACTCTGGTGTGCTCAATAGTTCGAGTTACAGAGAGATCAATGCTTCTACGCCTTCGAAATACCTTATCTCGCAAAAAGGGCTTCATTCCTTGCAGAATCTATCGCGTTCTGTAGTTATTAATTAGAAACTATAATCGAAATTATAGCGGGTGGCATGTGAAGTGTGCATGTTTTAATGAAGGTGAATGAAAAGAATGGGCCATTCCATTTAATATCCGCACCCCCCCCCCCTATTGAGGTTAGGGGAAATCAATTTTACCCCCTCAGAAAAGTAAACTTTTTACCCCCCTCCCCCAAGAATGGAAGATAAAAAATACTTCCTCCTTCAGAATTTGTAGGACGATCAAAGGCATCGACGCAACTGTGTCAGAAACGGCCTTTTGAAGACTCCCCCTCCACATAAGATTTTCCAGACCCTCACTAGGGGGGTGCCCTTAAAAAAATGGGATGGCCTTATTAACTAAGATGAATGAATCAGATGTTTACTTTCTCCAGTTATACTTAAAGTAATATAAATCAATGTGTCACTGTGTTCTTGAAGTCAGTGAGAGTGTTTTGAAACTTGCCCCATGCCAGATTAACCATTAAGAAAGTGGTAGAGTTGTAACACCTGGTTAACAAAAACACTTATTTCCTTTCCAGGCCAGTGCAGTAAGTGTTATCCCTGTCAGATGGTTGAACCTCCAGGAATTCCAGAGCAAGAAATTAATGGCTGATAATGGTCTTCATGTGCAGAGATTTAAAGTTGCAGAAAATGCAAAAGAAGCAGTTGACATTGCTAAGGAATTAAGTAAGTCAGTGACCTCAAGAATTACTTAAAAAGTAACCCAATTTCTTGATGGAAATCACAAATTTAATTTAAGTATAGCAGTTATCCAAGGATGCATTGCTTTCCATTCAGTGAATAATTCCAGAACTTTTGAAATTGGGTCAAATGGTACAGCAATTTCCTTGGAGAGTTGTTGAATTTCTGACATGTGAACCATTCAGCCTAAAATTCTGGAAATTCTGGTGGGAAAGGCAAATGGAAAGGAAATAGGTGGTAAGAAATTTTCAAAAATTTATATTCAACTGACAAGGTTATCCTATTTTCCAAAAATTCTGGAAAATTTTGTTTCATTCTTTACTGGAAATTTCTTAAAATTCAAACTGGAATTTTTGCTTGAATGGAAAGCTCCACAGGTGTTATAATAAACTGGTTACAAGCTGCCTGACGAAACCAGCTCAGCTTGACTGGTTGGCAATTCAATAGTTTTATCGGTTTTGTTCTTTATTTGCCGTCAGATGCAAAAGAATTTGTACTAAAGGCGCAAATCCTTGCTGGTGGCAGAGGAAAAGGGACATTCACAAGTGGCCTACAGGGTGGTGTTCATTTGACAACAGAGTAAGCAAGTACAATATATTATGTTATTAATGTATAATAGTCTCGCCAATCAGAACTTAGAATAATGTATTGAATAGAAACAACATCAGTCAGAAACATGTTTACAGGATAATCTTCAGCAACTTTTAAAAAAAAGCTGGAAAGTGAAATTTATCGTACATTATTTTGGTTAACATTGTGCTACCAATATTATTAGATGTGAATTATAAAATAAATATATGTAATTTTTTCACTCTTGAATCAATGTAATTTCTCATGGAAAAATATGATAAATTTAATTCAAAAATATTGTTATATTGTCCTTTTACAGCCCAGACAAAATTGGAAAATTAACAGAACAAATGGTGGGTTACAACTTAACAACCAAACAAACACCACCAGAAGGAGTGCTGGTAAAAAAGGTAAAAAAATTACAACTTCATATAATATGTTATTATACTGAAACCAAATTCACAACTAGCCATTCAGAAGCTGTGTCCTACTGTCCTGATGTCCAGCCCAATTTTGGTACAGTTAGGGTAAAACAGTGAATATGTTTAAAACAATGTACATTTATTGTATGCTTTGTTGATGTCATGATGCATATTTTGGCCTGACCAAAATTGTGTGATAACACACCAAAAAAGTATGATTACAATGCACTTTATGAGTATTGATAATATTAGAAATTGGTAAAGAAAAATGTTATTAGCTTATCATTACATTTTGCGTAAAATATTTGAAGTAGCCTCTGTTTGACTTGAAACTATGCTCAGACATTTGTCCCTGGACATTATCTGTTCCTTGAAGCTCAAAGTTTTCCTCAATAAGGTCCATCAACATTCATTTGAGTAATTTTGCGCAAAATGAAGGCGATTGTTTCTGTATATTGTCATGTTAGAATTCTTTGGTTTGAATTCCCTTTTTTCCATTTGCTAGTTCATTAATAGCCTTTCTTGATATCTGTTTTTTATGTTTAGGTAATGGTTGCAGAGAGTTATGATATCGCACGTGAGACATACCTGGCCATTTTAATGGACAGAAGCTATCAGGGACCTGTCATTGTCGGCAGTCCTAAGGGTGGAGTGGACATCGAAGAAGTTGCCAAGAATACGCCAGAACATATACACAAGGTAATAAAGTCTGCATACGAGCCAAGTGGCTCGTTAGGCTTGTGTTTATCACTGGTTTCTGTAGCATGAAGCAACTCTGGAGGAGTATTCCACCCTAGATGGGATGTTAGTCCATCGCAGGGTTACCCCTCAGCATTAATTTCGGTGGTACCCATTTATACACCTGGGTGGAGAGAGGCACATGGGTGTTAAGTGTCTTGCCTGAGAACACAACACAATGTCGCCGGCCAGGGCTTGAACCCGGATCATTCGTTCTGGAGTAGAGCGCTGCCACTGACCATGAGGCCACCATGCCTCCACATTTTTCAAGAATGATCAACATATATTTTCTCCTTACAAATATCTCATTACACTATCATAGAGACAAGTTATGGGAATAATTATAGAGAATCGTCAACTAGGAGATAAACATGTAGTCGTTGTGAAACAAGGTCAACAAATTTGTCAGTGTCACAGAGATAACAAAATCTAAGAAGAATTGTGCCAGATTAAGATAATTTAAAAGTTATGTATCTATATGCTTTATTACTAGGTGGCCGTTAACATATTCAAAGGAATCCAAGACAAAGACGCCAGATATCTTGCAGAGAAATTGGAATTTAAAGGGCCTCTGTTAGAACAAGTAAGTTGACAGAAAAGAGCAAACCGTATTATCTACTTGTTCTTTTGTTCCAGTTAATTTCCATTTTGATTTGTACATTTGATATATATATATTTTTTTCGCAGGCTGTGGAGCAGATAAAGTTACTCTATGAACTCTTCCTTAAAGTTGATGCTACACAAGTAGAAATCAATCCATTTGGAGAAACACCTGATGGCAAAGGTATTCTTTATTATGCTAGGCTGATACACTGAAACATACTGTGTAAAGAAGTAGAAAATCCTTATGAATTCCTGGATTAATGCCATAGAATTACGAGTTTTCTCTTATCATCCTTACTCCTGCAGTGATACGTGATTATTTTATCACGTTGGACGTAAGTTTGTTGCAGTCAGTTCTAAGCACAACCAGTGTTTCTTATCTCTGCCCAAGTTGAGAAATGGGTTTCATTAATAATAAGCTAGCTTAGGTAACAGTTGTTTCTTTTCCAAGAGCGTAAGAAGTGTGAGAGAGATTGTAATGTTAGACAAAGCAAAAAGAAAATATTTATGTGTTTGGTTTATGGTTTGTTGTCTTAATCTTTCACACTCCATTCTTGCATTCTTGAAAAAAAAAAAAGACTTTAACCTGGGATATATTGAGTAAAATATTCAAGATTCCAGCAAAAAACTTGCAACCTGCAATTTAATATCATCTCTTTTCAAACTCTTTAATAATTCATCAAGTTAAAACAAAGAAAATCACAACCATGAAGGAGGTTTGGACACCCGGTCTTAATTGGCATAAATTTTGACGGTTTTACTTCTCCATTTACTCCTTAGTTTTTGTTTCAATCAAGAAGATATGTCAAACACTTGAGACAGTGTTTCATTGGCTATCCAAACTCCTTGAATTTCATCAAAAATGCTCCGCTGCACGTGATATTTTCAACTCTCTTCTCTGTGTTTGGATATCCCGATGAAACACTGTCTCTCATGTTTGATATACTACATCTAGTGACCTATGATTCATTATTGGCGACATGATCATGCTGCTAAGTTGAAACACTTTTTTTTATTTTACTAACCCTTTTGGTAAGTACATTGTATGTGTAGGTCCTCCCAGGTGGTTGAACATGCTGTGTTTGAATTTTTCAGTTGTCTGCTTTGATGCCAAGTTCAACTTTGATGACTGTGCCAGGTTCCGACAGAAAGAAGTGTTTGCTATGGATGATCAGAGTGAAAGTGACCCTCGAGAAGTGGAAGCTGGAAAATATGACCTCAATTACATTGGTCTAGATGGAGACATTGCTTGCCTAGGTGAGATGATGTCTTTCTTACATAGTGCTTATCCATCATGACCGAAATTCTGCCAGCTTGGATGCAGAAATGACAACTTTTCTGGGGCAGATACAGGATTTTAGAGAAGGAAGAGAGAGGTAGTTGGGGTCTGGTGGCATCCTCCCCCACCCCCCAAATTTTTAAAATTCAGGTCCTCAGAAATGGGTTTCCCAGCATTCTGAGAAGTCAGCGTGTATATTTTCTCGCTTGATTTAATTTAGGGGGTTTGACCAAACCTCCTGAACCCTTCCTAGATCCACCCAGGCTTTTAAGAAGCAAAAATCCCTGTTGAACAATATTTATTTTATTTGTTCCTTAGTGAATGGTGCTGGCTTAGCTATGGCAACAATGGACATTATCAAACTTCACGGGGGTACCCCAGCTAATTTCTTAGATCTTGGGGGTGGGGTACAGGAGGAAGGTGTGTTTCAAGCCTTCAACATTGTAACAAAGGATCCTAGAGTAAGTGATAGCCTTGACTTTGCTTGTTGCTGTTGTTGTTGTTGTTGTTGTTGTTGTTGTTGTTGCTGTTGTTGTTGTTGTTGTCGAGACTAGCTGTAACTCCAAAGATTGTTCTCAAGTCAAAATATGTGCTTCTGGAATTCTCGAGATTTTAATGTTTAACTTTGGCACCTTTTTTGTTCTGCAGGTGAAGTCGATTTTAGTGAATATTTTCGGTGGGATTGTTGACTGCTCCATTGTCGCAAACGGAATCACTTCGGCTTACAAAAGACTCAATGTAAATGTCCCTGTCGTAGTACGGTTAGAAGGTGAGGCGTTTTTTAATTATTAATTTCTTAATGATCAATGAAAATAATAAATCAAGTGTTATAAAAACTCATTAAAAAGTTTCCCGCCTTTTTTCGCCTGTCGCCGGCCCCGACAGCAAGGGAATCTCTGATTGGCTTGTAACAAGGAGAAGTTGTTCTCTGATTGGTTAAAAACAGCTTGGCGATTTCAAAAATATCTAATAACGAAACTGGCTTGCAGTAAAACCGCGCGTCCTACAAGCGCAGAGGAAATGCTTACTAACTCTGTTTCATTATTTTAATTTTTTAGGCAGAAATGTGGAAAGCGCCAAACGCATTCTTACCGAGAGTGGAATGCCGCTCATTGTAGCAGATGATATGGACGACGCAGCTAGAAAGGCCGTCATAAGCCTTGTGGACTGATACAATACTGATGAAAACTGTGAATAAGACTTTGCAGGAGCTACTTGACTGGTAGCGCCACGTGAAAATTTGAGCCGAAAGTTTTCAAATCCGTCACAATCTTTCTCAATCTTAGCCAGCCGTATTCCTTTTTGTTTTGTTTTTTTATTGTTATTACTTCATTAATAGCTTTGTACTCTACTCAACTATCATTTTGAGGAAATGGCGCCAATTTGAAGGACATTTGTACACTGAAAAAAGTTACATCTCTACATAGATGGCTCCTTTAACAATCCAACGACGAAGAAGGATGAATTCTTGGTTATATTATCCGAATTAGAAGATATGAACGACAGCATCCAAGAACTGTATAGCAGTAATATAATGTCCGAACGTCGCGAATTAATTCGCCTTCGTTGGTTTCTTCCCAAGAAGAGCGACTTTTTAATCAATCCTGTTGTAGGAAAAACAACAAATTTGCTGTGCAAATGAAAAGGAGTTTTTGAAGGCATCCACGAGAAAAACGCTTTTTATCCTACAGTGTAACGACACTGCATTTTATACCATGTCTTAGAAAATACAGTCAATCAGAATACTGGATAGCCGTTGTATAGTCGACGATATTACACCCAACCTCCCTATCGCGTGCTGTACGTATGTTGCATTGATTGTGTTATACTGAAATGTCAATCATCTCCCGCCCTCAGCCCAATTTCCGGCAAGAGACTCTCGCTACGCTTGTGTTGGCCACTCCATTTTCTATGGTATATTAGAAAACAGTCCTAAGAAAACACGCGCGCTGATTGGTTAAAAATCGTGTTTCTATAACTCGATGGAAACACTGAACTAGCACGAGCTGTTGACGTGATGATGGCGCGACCAAAGAGAATTTCGATGCAAATGGGTAATTAAATTCCCGAGAAGTCTAAACGAAGGACATTTACGGTTTCTTGACTTTTAAAAAAGTTGAAATTATTGAAAAAAATGATGCGCTCGAGCACGCAACTTCAATGTTAAATGACAAGTCAATTTGAGCGATCTTTTTCAGGCGCAAAGTTTAATAATACCTCAAGAAAATAATTGGAAACCGTTATTTGAAGTAAATTTTAGTAAGAATTCTACTAAAACAATTAGATTATTCGCTCTCGATTTCTATTCCCTCATAGAAATCTCGAGCTCATAATCTAATTGTTAAATAGAAACACTCGTGAAAGTTTCGGAGAACTCGAAAAAGCTGTGGAAACACTCCCCTGCGGCTCGTGTTCCCACAGCATTTCTCGTTCTCCCAAACTTCCACTCGTGTTTTTATAACTCGATAGAAACACGGTACACGTTTTCTATTTCTTAAGTTTAAAATAGTTCCGCATTGCTTTTTCGTGGTATACTTAAGCAATAGAGTACTTTTTCCGTGTTTATGTAGCCTCATCTAAACACGCGGGGGGTTCGAAGAATTCGAGACAGTTATGCAAACCCGAGACGCTGTCGAAGGTTTGCATAACTTTCGACAATTCTCCCACCCCACCCCACCCTCCCACCTCCAAAGTGTTAAGATGAGGCTACGTAAACACGGAAGAAGTGCTCTATTGCTTTTATAAAATACTTCTCAAGAATACGCACGAAACTAAAACGTCACAACCGTGTTTACATACTCTTATCTGAACTCACCTATCGACCAATGAGCGTACGCGTAGTATCTCAGTTACTTTATAATATGGAATATCTCACTTGTCACGTGTATTTTCTTGATATACACATGACCCTTCCGTGGTATACCGTAACTAGTATGTATTCTGTGAGACGCTATTCAAAGGCCAAACGTCGTCCTTTGTCAAAGAGCCACACTCCGGCAGAACGATGGTTTTCGCCGCTCCTTTCAGAGCCACCAAAACGATGTCAATTACGTAACGCGTAAAGCAAGAAAACGCGTAAAGCGTTTTTTTTTACGCGTAAACGCCTGACGCGTAAAGCAAAAATGTTTCAAAAAAGACTACTTACATGTGAAGCCAAATTAAAGGTACTAGCACTTTACTGGGAATCTGTTACTTAATTTTATTATTGTGCTACAAGCATCGGTTGCCATGGTTTTTGCACTCAACTACGGATTGAGCGGTCTGGGTTCAAGTCCCCGCCGATGACATTGTACTGTGTCTTTACTCTCACAGTGGCTCTCCCCACCCAGGTGTATAAATAAGTACCGGCGAATTTAATCCTTGGGGTAATCCCGCGATTGAATAGCATTCCATAAAGGCTTTTGTTCTTGGGCCATCGTAGTTTAACGAGGAATAAAACACAAATAGCGGTGATAAACATATTAAACTTACACATTACATAAACTTACATATTATACTTACGTCGAGTTATTAAAATGCGTAAGTTTGATATGTTTATCACCGCTATTTGTGTTTTATTCCTCGTTGAATAGCATTCCATTCAAGGGGGAGATACTCCAAGTCGCTTCATGCTAAACAAAGCACCTGATGACCCCCTTGGCTCATATGCAGAATTGACCGTACCTCCAAGCAGTGATAGGGGACAGAGGAATGGGTGAATGAAGTAGACGGGACCATTTTGCAGTGGCGCACTACGTTATATGGCTGGGTATTGTTTTTTCCGCCGAGTTCGGGGAATACTTTATTAAATTCTCTAGAAGAAGGGCAAATTGTCACCAAAAAATATGATGGCACCCAGTCGCGTTTACATGGCGATCAATTCCTTTCCGCCCTCCCCTTCACCACCACCCCCAGCCCCGTAACCGCCGGAGACAGGGGAGGGGAGGAACTCTCTAAGACTTTAATACAGCTGAGGGAGAAACGTTCCAATCCCGGTTAACGTAATAGCAGAGAGGGCCCTGGGAGCTAGGTTGCGAAAGAACACACAGACCTGTGTAACTACTAGCGAACAAGACACATTGTAGTGAATAAATTCCGTCCAATTTGAATTACACTATTGCCTGAGAAGCCACCGTGTTGGTACGTAGTTACTCCAACAATGGCGGATTTAACAATCGTTCAAGAACACGAAGGAGAGTTCACTGGACCCCGACACGCGTTGATTCATGGCGTCCGGGTCCCGTTCTACGAGCCTAACATTGATCAAGATTTTGAGAAAGATTTGAGTCGTTTTGAAACCAGGCCAGACGACATTTACGTGGTTAGTTATCCCAAGTCAGGTAAGGCTTTGTAGTTAGAGAATAATACTCGATCGAGACAATTCGACCTGAGCTTAGTATTCTGTCTGGCTATAACACGGGTCGTCACGCAACGACGCCCGTCACTAACTGGAGAGAAGCCAGATAAAGGCAGTGAGGGTATTATCGAGATTATCAAAGAATCTTGCTAGGTCAAGCCCCTACTCTTACTTCATAAAGATTTAAATCAAAGCTCGATTCTTCCAAAAATGAAATCCATTGGAAGAGGAGCATTCGACAGTTCAGTACCCTTTCATGCCTCCTTGGAGGAGATCTAGAGGAGAGAGGACGTCCCCGGGAGAGAGTTAAGAGAAGGGAGTGGCCTTTCTTTACCTTAGACAACACTGACCTTTTACCGGTGGTGGCCACTGGTAGCTTTGGCAAATTAACTTAAATAAGACAGGAATCCAGCTTTACGAGAGAAACTTGTTGAACAGCTTTCGAGGGTTCGATGATGCAACAACGGCGCAGTCCAATTTGGCCACTGTCCCACCGCGTACCGGCCATTGTTAATATTTTTTTCAAACTTGTCCCCGCCTCCCCGTCTTGAGGACAAAGTGCATTTAGTTTGTGAGTTTGCGTTTCGATGAGGCAATCAACGTCCGCGTGGGAGACGAGCTCTTTTATGTCACAGAAAAAAAGAAAAGAGAAAAAGAACGTTAACTCGGGTTAACGATATTTATATTTCATTCATCGTGATATCATAAACACTCTTGTTCTTTGGCCATTTCAATTTTAAATCCATCGTGATCTTTTCACAGGAACAACTTGGGTGCAAGAAATTGTGTGGCAAATTTTCCACAATGGTGAAGTCAGCAAAGAAAAAGTGGATTGTCGATATTCTCAACTGGAAAAAAGTCAGCTCTTTGAAAGAACTGGGGACGAACATCAAGTTGCGTTGACCTCTCGGCCCAGTCCCCGCTTCTTCAAATCGCATCTTCCATATCACGTGATCCCTATCAGTAAAAGCGAAGGTAACAGAAGCAAGTACCTTTACGTAGCGAGAAATCCCAAAGATGTCGCAGTTTCGTTTTATCAGTTTGTACAAAGTTTTGGTCCTGCCAGTCACTTTCATGGGACTTGGGAATTCTTTGCCAAAATGTTTTTGGAAGGCAAAGGTAAAGAAACTTAATTGCATGCCTTTATTATAAGTGTATAACTAAGAATAGATGTTCTAAGTGTTGTCGTTCGACGGGATTACAGCAAAAACCCAAAGACTGCAGCCTGGTATCCATGCCTTCCCGTCCCAATAATACTTGACGTCATCGGACAGCCTTTGGCGCGAACAGCAACCATCCCAGGCTCTCTTTCTCTCTCTCTAGCTCTACTGAGAGAGAGACCTGGTCCCAGTTGTTTAAAGGGTGGGAAACACTATCCTCCGGATAAATCGCTATCCGGTGGATAGTGTAGTTTGTTTTGCCAACACTTATCCATTGAGATGGCGATTTATACGGTGGATAGGGTTATAGAACCTTTGAACAACTGGGGCCTGAAAGACAAAAGAGGGAGAGGAGAAAGAGTTTGAGATCGAGGTTTTGGTGGGAGGTGTTCTCTGCCCAGATTACCCCGTTCTCATGATCTAGCTTGCGCTTCGCACAGAACAACAATAATAATAATAGTAATAGTAATAATAATAATAATAATAATAATAATAATAATAATAATAATAATAATAATAATAATAATAAAAAAACAAAGAGAGGACACCTGGGAAACTAGGCTGGAGTTAAGCCAATGCTGTTGAAGAATAAACAAGTTAAACGAGAAGCTTTAGTTTATTATTTGACAGATTAAGGGATTAAGTCCACAATCTGTCAGATGATCGCTACAATGTCCATTTCATCTCATACTCAGGTTTCACTCTGTTTGACGCCTGAACGTGGGAGGTCTGGGTTTAAGTCTCGCAGGCGTAATTTGTTTCGTCACACAATGTTTCGTACAAGAGAGTGTTGCATGACTATATAGAATGACTAGGTAATTGAAAACGTATAGATAGTGATTTCGAGTGGCGCACATTGTGATTGTTGCTCATAACTTTATTATTGTCGGATTTCTCGGGAACGTTTCTTTTCCGCAGGAGCATTCGGCTTGTGGTCTGATCACGTGTTACCCTGGTGGGAACACAGACGTGATTCACACATCTTGTTTCTCAAATACGAGGACTTGAAAAAGGTAAGGTTCCCTGTTGCTGTAATGTACTCTTCCTGTAAAAACCTTTAGTTATGGCTTGATTTTAAGTGTATGTGTCATAAAGAAGAGTATATAAGCACTTCACATATTCGCCATAGGTCTCGATTTCCCCTGCCCTTTCGAGACCGGTCGATCTTCGTATTTCCGAGGAGCGGCCGATGTATCCTGAAAGTTGACGATCTCTTATGTAATAGTGGAACTTATTGTGAACGATTATTTCCGAAGAAGGCTCCCGAAAAATGGTAACGTCTGGTTGCCTGGCACATCATCTGGTAATTATTATTATTTTTTTTAATCTCTTTTAGGACCTGTGTAGTAATGTTCGCCGAATCAGTGAATTTCTTGAGAAACCTCTGTCAGTAGAAATGATTGCTAAAATCTCCCATCAATGCACATTTGCCGAAATGAAGAAAAATTCTGACTCTTTTTCATTGTCAGTTTATCCTTCAAAACCAAGTTTTCTTCGTAAGGGTGAAGTCGGGGGCTGGAAGGCTCACTTCAGTGAAGAATTGAACCAGGCATTTGATGAGAAGTTCATGGAAAAATTGAACGGGACTGGACTTCATTTTGACTGAGAGGAAGAACAGCATTGATTTATCAGATATATTTTTTTAATGCCAAGATCTCTAGAAATTTAAGACTCTGAAGCAACTTTTTTGAATTGATTGATTTCTTTACTCCAGTATGATCGAGCAACCAACCACACGTTCTGCTCAAAAGCGTCAAAACATTGTTCATTATTCAAATTGCAATAAGACAGAGGAGCATTTTAAAACAACCAAAAAGTGCATTGTAAATAAAGGCGAAGTTTTGAACCAGGTTGTAAACTCAGGGGAAAGACGAACAGTTTTTTGTCCATTACAGAGTGTAGCCTACAGCATTTTGCCGGTTGCCCTCGCCCTAATTTTCCAGTTCTTATTTATACACCTCGCCCGGGTGGATAACGCTATCTACCAGATAGCGTTGTTTGTTTTGTTAAACTTATCTACTGGATAGCGATTTATCTGGATAGCGCTATCCAGCGTTCAAACAACTGGGGCCTGGGTCTTGCCCAAGAAACAACATCATGAAACCGTCTAATGCTAGAACCCAGACCTCTCGATCTGGAATTCATGCGCCGCTGCGCTCCTCAGCTAAACATGGAGGTAAGCGCCTCGATAATTGTATAATTCAAAGCACGTTAAACAACTGTACACTTTTCCACGATCATTAGTGCCTCAGTCATAGTTGCATGGTCGTTGTCCTCTTGATCTTCTTTTACAAACAGAAAGAGAAATACCACAGCAGCACTTAGAGAAACAAAAATACCCGCCATATAAAATGCCGGAGGATACGAGCCAAAACTGTCCGCAACAAGACCTGCAAGAATGAACTATAATGAATTAAGTGAACAAAATGTGCATTGTAAATATAGGCGAAGCTTTGAACCAGCTTATAAACTAACGGGAAAGACTTCCAGTTTTAAGGTCGAAAAGTTGATTTCCCTTATTGATTACCATACATTTCGGTTCGGGTCAGCGCACACTAGGGAGAAAGCCGAATATAGGTTTGGCAGGATGCGGGATGAGAGTAAAACTAAAGGCGGGATACGGAATGACAGAACTTTTAATAGCGGGATGCGGGATAAAAATATATCGACGGGAACAGGATTTGCTCATTTTGACAGAAGGGATGCGGGATAGTTTTAAAATTGACGGCGGGTTGCGGGATGAAAAACGGGAAATTATACGTTACTGACGTTACATGGAGAACTGTGACTCTAACCAGGCGGGATCGAGATAAATATTCTGACTGGCGCGAGAAGGCGGGGTTGAGGCAAAAATAGAAGCGGGATGCGGGATTGAAAGAAACCTATGTTGGACCCTATAGGGAACATTTTGCGGATGCATGAAGCGGGGACATGTTGTGGCGACTGTTTTCCTTGTGCGACATTACCGTTTTTGCGCAAAAGTTCTGTTGCAGGGACTGTCCCCGCGACATGATGCATGACTTTCAGTTGGTTTGAATTCGTGGGTCGTGAAACAGGGACATTTTATTATAAAATGGCATCAATTTAAACGCCACATTATTTGCACTGCCCTTGCAAATTGTTCCCGCTACAACATAGAAATGGACCCATAGTCGCTTCGTGTGCACCATTTCCGCAACATACGTCCTATGCCTACACACGAAGAGGCTTGTCCCCGCGTCACGTCCCCAAAACATGACCGTTAGTGTGTGTCGACCTTTTACGTAAGTTATGAAAATTCGACAGTCGATGAAAGTTCAAACTGTCGTTCTTGTTCGACTGCAAAGTCTAGTGCGCTGAAAAGTCTAGTGCGCTAGTGCGCTAGTGCGCAGTCGATCGATTTGAACCTACTTACATATTCATGAGGAACGAGTGAAAGTATACGGTTTTTCAGGTATATGATTTACCCAACTGCTTTGCCTCTTTCCGCCCCCGGCCACCCCGGGGGAAGGGGTTTGATCGCACACTGACAATAATTGATGAGAGATAAAGTAAACTCTTGTGCAAATCCCATCCGACAACCCGTATCGACTCTAGTTTTCGTTTGATCCAGCGTTTATCGATGGCCGTCACGTAACGCAATACAAGACTATTTCATGATTTATGATTACATTCTCATCTACTCTCGTCTTGGCAACGTCCTAAGATGGTATGGAGAATTAAGATTTTCATACGTACCGCCTAAGGCAGGGCCAAACGCCGATACGATGTTTGTAATACTCTGGAACAAGCCGAACCCTCGGACTCGTTTAGTTCCTTGAAAACAAAACATAACAGCCACACACATTGCACTGCCCATGGCACCATCTGTACAGCCATAAAGTATAAAATAAAACACGAGGTAAAGATTTCTTCTTGCGAGGGGAAGAAGTAACGACGCGATTCCTTCAAATGCCGCGGCGATCTGGAAAAGAAAGTGCGCTTGGATCCATTTGACGTCACACAAGCGACCAATCACGGGACGAATTAACAATGACGTCACACCACTGTAGACGTACAGTTTGGAGGATTGTGTGGGAGGTATTCCTATAGTTTCGCAGTAACGAACCTGTAAAAAAAATGAACTTTACTGAAATATTGTTTCTTTTGTCAAAAAATAAAAACATCGGTATGCAAGTTTTTGCGCAACATTGCAAGTTGGGTCCCCATGACATTGTTGCGTGCGACGTTGACCTTGCAAAAATAGAACCGCTTACATTTTCTGAAACATTTTGCGTAACAATTTCAACGACTCTCTAGCATCAGTAACATTGCGCGCAAAGACATAAACTTGATTATATTCTCTGAAACATTGCGCAAAACAGGTTCAACGTTTGTCTACCGAGTGTAACATTGCACAAAACATTTTCAACATTTATGCGCCATCTACTACATTGCGAAAGAGTTTCATTTGTCTAGTATCCGTGTAACATTGCACACAACAGTTTAAACGTTTGCTTTCTACTTCTCAAACTCATTGATAATTCATTAAGTTGAAACAAAAAAAAAATCACAACCGTGAAGGAGTTTGAATACCCCTCTTAATTAGCATAGATTTTGACGTTTTTACTTCTCCGTTTACTTCTTAGTTTTTGTTTCGATTAAGAAGATATACCAAATACTCGAGACAGTGTTTCATCGGCTATCCAAACACCTCGAATTTCGTATTTTCAATTCTCTTCTCTGTGTTTAGATATCCCGATAAAACACTGTCTCTAGTTTTTGATATATTACTTACAACATGGCGCTCAACAGTTAGTAAAACATTTATCTTACTCTATGTAGCACTGGGCACAACCATTTCAACACAAGGCTCGATTACCAGCCGCTGTTCAGAAAAGAGCCCGCGCTCCTTCCTCTCTTCTCGTGGAATAGATATCAGTGATTTTTTTACCTTTTGTCTCCCAGTGTAAGAAATTACATTAAAATCATAGAAAGCTCCCAGAAATAGCTTCGTAAGATAAAAAAAAAAAAAAACTCCAAAGCGGTAAAAAAGGAAAAAGGATGGTAATGCAGGTAAAGAATGAGATATAGATCAAAATGTTCAAATGTTCTTGTTTATAGTGGTCAATGCACTTAGCTACGCCTAACTAGTTCACAGCGCATGTCACTTAAAACTGAAAGAAACAAATAGGGTTAAAAATCGCAACTGGCGGGAGGCAGACCAGTTGGTTATTTACAAACATGGCTGAGGAGCCGAACTAGGGTCTACTGAGAAACAACTCCAGCTGAGTGGTCAGAGCGGGACTTGAACCCGCGACCTCCGGATTGCAAGTCCGACGCCCTAACCACTTTAATATACGCTTTATGTTTCAAGATGTGCTATTTGAGTCTTTTAACAGGCTTACCATGTGAACAGAAGGGATGTAATGTCCAGTGTACATCAGACACACGGCCAAAGTGAAAATAACAAAGCGCTTATTCCTAAAAACTGAAAAGTCACAAAGTTTCCCCTTTATCTCATCCTCTGCGCTGTTTTGCTCGGTACCAATATCACCAGGCATTCGACGAAAAACGCAAACAAGAGGACCAATTAAAGCAACAATCCCTGCCATGGCCATAAAAGCTCCTCTCCAGTCAAGTGCATCGACTAAGGCCTGCACTACGGGGCTCATTACAAACAGGCCTCCGCCAGGCCCTGTGGCAACGAGCCCCAACGCTAATGAGCGCCTTTTAATAAAGTATCTAGGTATGACCAAGTACAAAGGAAGAAATACGAAACAAGATCCAATGCCAAAGACAATACCATAGCTTATCATGATGAAATAAATGCTGGTCCCACGTGACGTCACTAGAAGAGCCACTATGCTAATAAGGGTCCCCACGATGGCGGTTTTAAGGGGTCCAATGCGATTAAAGACTTTTGCGACCAGCATGCCGTACACGCCTGTTCCAACCATAGCCAGTGAGCCAACTAAAGCTGCGGTAAAAATGAACAGTGGTGAACTGTCAGACGATCCACATGGTTCACCAGTCGCCAAGAGCAGTTAGTACTGGATTGTATAGTATGGAGCGATTAGCAGTTATATATCGTCTTTCCTTTTTTTTTTTTTTTTTTTTTTTT